AGTACTGACCCTCCGACAGTGCGGCACTCCCTCAGTACTGACCCTCCAACAGTGGAGCACTGCCTCAGTTCTGCACCGGGGATGTTGGTCCAGATTATGAACCCAAGTGTCTAGACTGAGGTCTCAAAGCCCCAGTCCTCAGTCAGAGGTGAGAGAGCCTGCCCATTAAGTGACTGTTAATACCTCTATAATACTGAATGCACGTAGAACTTTGGTCGATTTAGTTTGACACAAGGATCATGTAGTGTTTCTTTCTCTTCTTTTCCAGATCGTTAAAGCAAAATATCGGCCTCTCTCCTACCCATATCTCGTGCCAAAATCAATGTCAACAGCAAATGAGTTGAGATACCAAGTGCCTGGATCAGTCCACGCTCGAGTGCAGGTCAGTGTGTGTTGCTTTTTTTATTATTTTACTAAAGCTTATACGCACCACAACATTCTTTTTAAAATAGATTCTTAGGACGTAAACATTATTGACATTTATTGCCCATTGGTACTTGCCCTCGAGAAGATGGTGGTGAGCCACCTCCTTGAACCTTTGTAGTCTTTGGGATGTAGGTCGACCCACATTGCTAATAGGGAGGGAATTCCAGGATATTGACGCAGTAACACTTAAGGACTAGTGATATATTTCCAAGTCAGGATGATGAGTGGCACGGAGGGGGATTTTGCAGATGGTGTTGGTCACATGTATCTGATGCCCATCTCTTTTGAGATATTAATGGCTGTGGATTTGGAAGACACTGTCTAAGGAGCTTTGATGAACTTCTGCAATGCATCTTGTAGATGGTAGATGCTACTGTTACTGAGTGTTGCTGGTAGAGGGAGTAAATGTTTGTGGCTGTGGTGCCAGTCAAGTTAGTTGCTTTGTATTGGAAGGAGTCAAGCTTCTGAGCATTATTGGAGCTGCACTCATCCAGGCTAGGAAGGATTATTCCAACACACTCCCGATTTGTGCCTTGTAGGTGGTGGACAGGGTTTGGGAGTCTGGAGACTAGTTTTTCACTCCAGGATTCCTAAACTCTGACCTGGTCTTGTAGCTGCAGTATTTTTATGGCAGGTCCAGTTCAATTTCTGGTCAATGGTAACCCCCAGAATATTGACATTGGGGAAGTCAGTGACTGTCATGCCGTTGAATATCAAGGGGCGATGGCTAGTTTTTCTCTTGTTGGAGATGGTCATTGTCTGACACTTGTGTAGTGTGAATGTCATTTACTAGTCATAAGGCCAAGCATGAATGTTATTTGGTTCTTACTGCAAATGGACAATTGATGATTGTTTCATGGAAATATATAAAATAGGAGCAGGAGGAAGCCTTTCAACCTGTCAAACTCACTTCACCATTCAATATTATGGTGGCTGATCCTCTATTTCAACACCACACTCTCGCTCTCCATTTATCCTTTAACACCCAAGCCTCTAACAATCTATCTATTTTTTTCTTAAATAAATTCAGTGAGCTGTCCTCGACAGCCTTCTGTGGCAGAGAATTCCACAGGTTCCTCCTGATCGAAGTGAAGATACTTTTCTTCATTTCAGTCAAAATGGCCCCTACCCCTTATCCTGAAACCGTCACTTTTGGTTCTGGAAGTATTTCCCAACCAAGGAAAATATCTTCCCTGCATGCGGTCTGTCCAGTCCAGAGAAGAGTGAGGGATTGAGTGTTGGTAATGTCATTGAATGACAAGGAGAGATGATCAATATCTCTCTTGTTGGACACTGTCATTGTCAGGTGTGAATGTTCCTATCTATGTATCAGCCCAATCCTGAATGCTGAATATAAATCACTCACTGCTTTGATAGGACTCTGAGGATTGACATAGGAATGTAGGCTTGTGGACAGTGGTACAGCGCTTAGCACTGCTGCCACACAGTACCAGGGATCCAGGTTCAATTCCAAGCAGCTGTCTGTGTGAAGTTTACATGTCCTCCCTGTGTCTGTGTGGATTTCCTCCCACAGTCCAAAGATGTGCAGGTTTAATGGATTGACCAGGCTAAATTGCCCCATCGTGTCCAGGGATGTGCAGGCTAGGTGGATTAACCGTGGTCAACGTGGGGATAGGGTGGGATATTCTTTTGAGGTCAGTGCTGATTGGATGGGCTGAGTGGCCTCTTTCTGCACTGGAGGGATTGTATGATTCTATTCGGTGATTCGGACAGTGCTCAAAGCATGCCTCAAACTATCCAATTTGGCTCAACGTTTTTCTCACACTTTGTGATTGTTATGATGTTGGTGAAAGTATTCAAGAATCGAAAGGCAGGAAGTTAGAACTTGTTGGTAAAAATGATTGTGGGGAAAAGAGTGCTGTGGTCCCTTTAAGAGCTTGTGCTTTGTCTGTACTTGGATGTTCAGAAATGCAGGTGCACAGGTAGTGCCCGAATAGAAACATTTTGTATAGAACAGCGAAGCAGCACTTTTTTTCCAAGACAACAAGTTTGAATTTGGCCAATTAATTTAAACCAAGAACCTAGATACAGAAAGCTAACTGAATTTAAATCTGATATTATTGCCAACCTGAAAGCAATCATATCATAAGAATTTGATAATGTCATCACGGATATATAAGATGAGAGCATTTGGAAAACTGGGGAGAGCCATCCGTCACCTGCCAGAGTTAGCACCATTCAGCTCTCAGAGAAAGCACATCTACCTCATCCAAGTTCCAGGTATTTTAGCTCAAAGTCCTCATCGAAGAAATTATACAGAGAAAACACCCCTGACAGCAGAATTAGTGCAAGAAAGGTGTTTGTGAAGAGAGCGCTGAAGACAGAATATTTCCAGAAGACGATCTGTGTGAACTTGGAGAGATTAAGTTTTAATTTATTGTTTTCTTATTAAGTGGGTTTTAGTAAGTGGGACTTGCATTTATTTGAATAGTATTCCACTAGAATTTAGTTCAGCTAGGGAATAATCGGTGCTTGAGGGAAATTGTTTGGCTTGTTGGAAATTCTGTTAATTTGTTCATTGTTAGGGTTGATTAAATAAATTGTTGCGAGTTATTTATAAAGTGGAGATCAGGGATTGTTTTTCTTTTAACAAATTTAACTAATTGCAAAGGGAAAGGCGTGTTTGTCTAGGTGTTCTGTGAGCTAATTATTAGAAGGGAACCCCTACTCCCATGATAATAGATCAGGGCTAGTGTTTTAGTTTAATTATCAGAGGGGTTCAACTATCCCCCTCCGTAACATAATGTCCCAGATTGCTGGAGTTGGTAAACTCACAGGACTGGGATGCATTGAAGTCCGGTTTCTCGTTGCACAAGATTGTTTAAAAAATGACATCCCACTCACGTCACTCCCCCACCTTCAATTCGAAGTGCACACATTTTTGGAGGTTAATGTCACACAGAATAATTCCACAAGTAGGCAGTTGGTGGAGTGCTGAATTATTTCATTGATGGAAGAACATCAGAAGATCCCTGCCTATTCTTCTCCCTCTGGTGCTGAGGGATGTTCTGAGTGCACAGGGATCTATAAACCAGGATAGTAACTGCTCTGGAAATGGATGCCTGGAATGTGCTTGATATCACCTCCCCGCTTCCCTTACCTCAGGTCTGTATGAATAGGAGTGGATCCACGGAGTGCAAGACACCAATGAAGCAATGATAATTTGTATATATATATATATTGCTCCTTGAACAAAGTCAAATATCCTTCAGTGCTCCACATTTGAAGTTGTCAAACAAACTTTGACACATAAGGAGATGTTCGGATCAGGTGTGAAACAGCTCAGTCTAAGGTACAGGTTTTAAGGAGCCTCTTAAAGAAGGAAAGAGGGGATAGAGAGGCTGAAAGGGTTAAGGAGGGGATTCTAGAGCTTGGGTCCCAGTAGAGGAACAATGACAATTTGGAATGCGCAAGAGGCATGAATCGAAAGAGAACAGAGATCTCCGAGGGTTGGAGGAATTGAGAGCTTTATAGAGTTAGGGAGGTTGGAGACGTTGTTGGAGACGGTATTAGCTAAGAGATTTTCATTAAAGAGATGATTGCACTGCTGTCAAAGAGGGATTAAATTAAATTGTGACTGACAGACAATTCTAGGGTGGTGATTGTCTGCCAAACAGAAATAAATTGCTGTGACTGTCGATCAGAGCTGTAACATTTGACCCTTCAGATAGTAGTGAAACATTCAACCTTTTTGGAACTACGCCCTCCCCCCAGGAACCTTCATGCAAGCTCATAGGTTTGTGTCGGGTATATCTTCTGGGTATATTTAACTCTGGTTTCCATCTATCCTTATCTCTGCCTCTCCATCCTAATTTGACTGCTTATCATCCAATCACTTACTCCCTTTCTATATTCTGTCTGATTTGCCTGCGCTTGAACAAACTCTGCTTCCTGTTATTTGCTGCCATTGGTCTTTCCTTAGCCTCATGGGATTGTTTGTTGACAGACAGGTCAACACTGGAAGGAATCATGACTAAGATGAACTGCATCTCTCAAACACTCGCAGTCACTTTCTAGACTCCTCAGCCAGCATCCTCAAAATCATTCCTCTACCATCTAGAAGGACAAGGGTAGCAGATACATAGGCACATGACCACCTGCAAGTTCCCCTCCAAGCCACTGATCATCCTGATTTGGAAATATATTGCCATTCCTTCAATATGGCTGGATCATAATGCTGGAATTCCCTCCCTAACAGCATTGTGACTCTACCAACACCAAATGAACTGCAATGGCTCAAGAAGGCAGCTCACCATCAGCCTTTCAAGGGTAACTAGGGATTGGCAATAAATGCCAGCCCAGCCAGTGATGCCCACATCCATTGAATGAACTTTTAAAATGTTACTGAGTAACAATTATAACTTGATATATCCTTCCCCTCTCCTGCCCTATTCTCAAGACACTCAGCTCTAGAACATAGAACTTTTTTTCCAGGGCTGAAATGTCTATTACGAGGGGGCATAATTTTAAGGTGATTGGAGGAAGGTATAGGGGAGATGTCAGAGGTGGGTTCTTTACACAGAGAGTGGTGGGTGTGTGGAATGCGCTGCCGGTGGTGGTAGTGGAGTCAGATACATTAGAGAAATTTAAATGACTCTTGGATAGGCACATGGAGGATAGTATAATGTAGGGTATGCAGGGTAGTTTGACCTTACTAGGATAATAGGTCGGCACAACACCGTGGGCTGAAGGGCCTGTACTGTGCTGTACTGTTCTATGTTCTATTTTCTAGCTCAAGGCTATCACCTTCATCTGAGATAGCACAACAGGGGACATGAACCAGGAAAGATGGCCTTGTGTATATGTTTCAGGGCTGTACTGATGCATTTGTAAGCTAACCCATTAGCAGCACTTTCCTTATGTCTTTGGTTATTATTCAGTGAGTGTTACTCTCTCCACCACTGTTGCTCAATAGCAGTAGTATGTGCTATGTACAAGATGCACTGCAGAAATTCACCAAAGATCCTCAGGCAACACCTTCCAAACCCACGACCACTTCCAGCTAGAAGGACAAGGGCATCAGATATATATGGGAACATCACCACCATTCACCATCCTGACTTGGAAATATATCGCTGTTCCAAAATCCTGGAATTCCCTTTCTAACAGCAGATGAACCACAGTAGTTCAGAAAGCCAGCTCACCACCACTGTCTTGATGCCAATGAGGGCCAGGCACTAAATGCTGACCAGCAAGTGAGGCCCACATCCCACAAATGTATAAACTAAACAGTAGTGTTTTATGTCCTGTGATTCCAACCACTACCAACTTGTTGTTGGGCTAAGTTTGAAGCCACCGTCCTCTTTCCTGGACTCAATCTAAGGGCCTACTTGGTTTACAGGATGGAAGAACAACTGCTGGAAGGACTTAATAAGAGGCATTTGCCTCTACGTCATTGTGGAGCTGGAGGAGCACAGCAGGCCAGGCAGCATCTGAATTTTCTGAAAGGTCCCAACCCAAAGCGTCAACTTTCCTGCTCCTCTGATGCTGCCAGGCCTGCTGTGTTCCTCCAGCTCCACACTACGTTGTCTCTGACTCCAGCATCGGCAGTTCTTACTCAGCCTCTACATTATGTAGTTTATCGCATGATCTCAATCGGGTACAAAATATATTCATAATTTAAACACAGCTACTATGACATGGAAATAGAGAATGCTGGAGAAAATCAGCAGGCCTGGCACGTACAGTGACAGATTCTTCTGATTCAAAGACAACTGGACCTGAAGCAATAAATCACTTCCTGTCTCTGCAGATGGTGTCAGATCTGTTGAATTTTTCCAGAATTTTCTGTTTTTATTTCAGATTTTCAGCATCTAGAGTGTCTTGCTTTCATTTGGTTTTTTTTTACTAATTCTATTTGGAGACCTGGCAGATTCTGTGATCTTCTGGCTTTCTTCACCCAAGTCCTTATAACATCATCAGATTGGGTGGAACTTAATGCAGTCTCCAACTTTAACACTTTCAGAACCATTACCCGATACACCGTATAGCATGCTCACCTCTGAGCAGCAGGTCGGGGGTTCATGTCCCATTGTAGCAAAGTAAGCACAAATCTATTTCGTTGATGGCCCTGTGCAGCACTGAGGGAATACTGCGCCATGAGAGCTGTTGCCCTTTATTTGAGACATTAAGCTGAGGCCCTGTCTGTTCCTTCAGGTGCATATAAAAGATCCCACTGCCACAGTGTTGAAGAGCAGAGGAAGTCTTGCCAGTGTCCTGGGGCCACCATTCACCCCTCAATCAACATCACTCACTGCAGAGTATCTGTTTATGATCATTTTGCTGTTTGAGGGTGTCCACAAAGTTGGCTGCTATATTACAACAGTAATTACACTTCTAAAGTATTTCTTTGGCTGTCCTTTTTTTATATTCAGTCAACGGGATGAGGGTGTCACTGCCTTGGCCAGCATTTATTGCACATCACTAATTGCCCAGAGGGCAGTTAAGAGTCAACCACATTGCTGTGGGTCTGGAGTCACATGTAGGCCAGACCAGGTAAGGATGGCAGTTTCCTTCCCTAAAGGACATTGGTGAACCAGATGGGTTTTCTTTTCCCCCAGCAATCAACAATGGATTCATGGTCACTATTGGACACTTAATTGCAGGTATTTATTGAATTCAAATTCCACCATCTGCCATGGCAAGATTCGAACCTGGGTCCCCAGAACATTATCTGGGTCTCTGGATTAACAGTGCAGCGATAATGCCACAAGGCCATTGCCTCCTTCCTGTGTAACTGTGAATCCAGACTGTCATCTATAGATCCAGTGAGTCATTGCCATAGTGCTGTAGAGACCTCCAGCGCAGAAAAAGGCCTTTTGGCCCATCGAGTCTGTGTTGGTCAAAAACAACCATCAAACTATTCATATCCTGTTTTCAAGCACTTGGCCCATAGGGTTTGGCATCACAATTGTACATCTAAATAGTTCCAGAAATGTATACAAGCTCATTACATTGATCACAAAGCTTTTTCAAACCGTCCTGGTTTTCTAGGTGCTGCGATCAGCTGCTGATTGGTCATGTGGGATTAAATATCACGAGGAATCGATTCACAATGCATACATACATGTGATTGAAAATAGTAAACACTACATCTACATTGAGGTGAGTACCTGCCTATCACAGAGAGTGCAATAACCTCAACACTGCTTCCTCGGTCAGTCATCCACATGTACCTCGGGAAAGGTTTGTATCACTTCTAATTCACGCAATGTTCTGGGGTGTGACCATCTATACACAACATATAATGCATGGTGCGTATGCAACACACAGTATGTTTTACAGTATACGGTGCATATATAATATGTCATAAACGAGGCTATAGAAAGAGAAGAGAGGCTCAATTGCAAGCATTCAGAGGGGGTCCGGGGTTGGGGATATTACAGTGTTGGGAGGGTGAAACCATGAAATGATTTGAAAATAAAAACGAGAGTTTTAATGTTGGGTTGCTGCTGGAAAGCAAGCTAATGTAGGTCAATAAACACAGGTGACAATGGACAAATGGGGCTTGGAGGCAGGAAGCAGTGTTTTGGACATGTTATAATTCAGTCGAGGGTATGGGATGGGAGGCTGGCCAAAAATGATTTAAATAGTTGAATCTGGGTGGGATGATGGTCTCCAAGGCAGATGTGAACTTTACCAAAGGAAATAAAAGTAAGAGGTCTGATACCAAGAGGCTGTAAACTGAGTTAAGACGGGGACCATCTGACTGACTGAAAGATAATCTTATGTTAATTATCCTGCTCATCCTGTCTCCTCTTTCTCTGTGTTTGATCAGAACCAGTTCTTCATCAGTTGTGCAGACAACAAATACATCTTCAATAAAATTGGCGATGCCATTGTACAGCGAATCCTGAGAGCTTACAGGTAATGCAATATTTTTCATCAGTATTCACACAGGAAAAAGACAATGTAGTCGAGGAGAATACTGAGATACTGTCTACTAGACTAGACGGGATTGAGGTTCATAAGGAGGAGGTGTTAGCAATTCTGGAAGGTGTGAAAATAGATAAGTCCCCTGGGCCGGATGGGACTTATCCTAGGATTCTCTGGGAAGCTAGAGAGGAGATTGCAGAGCCTTTGGCTTTGATCTTTATGTCGTCATTGTCTTCAGGAATAGTGCCAGAAGACTGGAGACTAGCAAATGTTGTCCCCTTGTTCAAGAAGGGGAGTAGAGACAACCCTGGTAATTATAGACCAGTGAGCCTTACTTCGGTTGTGGGTAAAGCGTTGGAAAGGATTATAAGAGATAGGATTTATAATCATCTAGAAAGGAATAATTTGATTAGGGATAGTCAACACGGTTTTGTGAAGGGTAGGTCGTGCCTCACAAACCTTATTGAGTTCTTCGAGAAGGTGACTAAACAGGTGGATGAGGGTAAAGCGGTTGATGTGGTGTATTTGGATTTCAGTAAAGCGTTTGATAAGGTTCGCCATGGTAGGCTATTGCAGAGAATACGGAGGCATGGGATTGAGGGTGATTTAGCGGTTTGGATCAGAAATTGGCTAGCTGTAAGAAGACAGAGGGTGGTGGTTGATGGGAAATGTTCATCTTGGAGTTCAGTTACTAGTGGTGTACCTTAAGGATCTGTTTTGGGGCCAGTGCTGTTTGTCATTTTTATAAATGACCTGGATGAGGGCGTAGAAGGATGGGTTAGTAAATTTGCGGATGACACCAAAGTCGGTGGAGTTGTGGATAGTGCGGAAGGATGTTGCAGGTTACAGAGGGACATAGATAAGCTGCAGAGCTGGGCTGAGAGGTGGCAAATGGAGTTTAATGCGGAAAAGTGTGAGGTGATTCACTTTGGAAGGAGTAACAGGAATACAGAGTACTGGGCTAATGGTAAGATTCTTGGTAGTGTGGATGAGCAGAAAGATCTCGGTGTCCATGTGCATAGATCACTGAAAGTTGCCACCCAGGTTGATAGCGTTGTTAAGAAGGTGTACAGTATGTTAGGTTTTATTGGTAGAGGGATTGAGTTTCGGAGCCACGAGGTCATGTTGCAGCTGTACAAAACTCTGGTGCGGCCGCACTTGGAGTATTGCGTACAGTTCTGGTCATCGCATTATAGGAAGGATGTGGAAGCATTGGAAAGGGTGCAGAGGAGATTTACCAGGATGTTGCCTGGTATGGAGGGAAGGTCTTATGAGGAAAGGCTGAGGGTCTTGAGGCTGTTTTCGTTAGAGAGAAGAAGGTTAAGAGGTGACTTGATAGAGACATACAAGATGATCAGAGAATTAGATAGGGTGGACAGTGGGAGCCTTTTTCCTCGGATGGTGATGGCTAGCATGAGGGGACATAGCTTTAAATTGAGGGGTGATAGATATAGGACAGATGTCAGAGGTAGGTTCTTTACTCAGAGAGTAGTAAGGGCATGGAATGCCCTGCCTGCAAAAATAGTAGACTCGCCCATTTTAAGGGCATTTAAATGGTCATTGGATAAACATATGGATGATAATGGAATAGTTTAGGTTAGATGGGCTTCAGATTGGTTTCACAGGTCGGCGCAACATCGAGGGCCTCAGGGCCTGTACTGCGCTGTAATGTTCTATGTTCTATGTTCTAGTGTAGAGGCAGACCTCTCAATCAGAACTGCCATTCAGCTGAACTGGTTCTGCAAGAAAATCTTATATTGCTTTGCTCCCTGTTCAAAACTGGAACCTTGGAACAGAATGAGGCCATTCAGCCCTCTGACCAGTGCTGACCTAGTGGTATTATTGCTGGAATATTAATCCAGAGATCTAGGAATGTTCTGGGGACCAAGGTTCAAATCCTGCCATGGCAGATGGTGGAATTTGAATTCAATAAAAAGAAACAAAATTTGGAATTAAGAGTCTTATGATGACCATGAATCAGTTGTCAGGAAAAACCCATCTGGTTCACAAATGTCCTTTAGGAGAGGAAACTGCCATTCATACCTGGTCTGGCCTACATGTGACTCCAGACCCACAGCAATGTGATTGACTCTTCATTGCCCTCTGGGCAATTAGGGATGGGTGCTGAATTTTGGCCTAGCCAGTGAGGTCCTGTCCCGTGAATGAATAAAAAATACATTCAATTAGATCATGACCAAGCTTTATATCAACTCCATTTAACTACCTTGCTTCCATAAGCCTTAATATCAATCCAACAAAAAGACAGGGTCATTAAGTAATCTTAAGGGGTGGTGAATAGATTCTTGTCAGGTCAGGAACCTTATAGTTCCTTATGGTTATCTGGAGCAGATAGCAATGTGGAATTTGGAACAGAAACACATCAGCCTTGATTCTTATTGAAAGGACTAGTAGGCTTGAGGGGCCAAATGGCCTATTGTGTTCCTTTTCTAATTCATTGAGGTGCCTTCGTTGGCTTGACTGGCATTTATTTATCCCTCATTGTCCTTAAGAAAGTGATGGTGAGTTGTTTCGTATTCTGTATGGTGCCGTGACCGAAGCCTGGAAATCTCATCATAAAACCCAGGCCACCAAGCTACAACAACTTGCTTTCATGTAGCACAGTGAATCATTCCAAGGTGCTTAACAGAAACGGGATCAAACATAATGTCGCACCAAGGCACGTGAGGCGAGATTAGGGTGGGTGACGAAAAGGTTGGTCAAAGAGAGAGGTTTTAAGGAGTGTCTTAGAGGAGGAAATAGAGCAGGAGAGGATTTGGAAGGGAACTGTGAAGCTTAGGAGCCGAACTACTGAAGGCCATTGATGCGGAGCAATGGAAGTTGGGGATGGAGAAGAAGCCAGGATTGGAGGAACACAGTGAGCTGGCAGGATTGAGAGGCTGGAGGAGTTTAGAGTTGTGGAGGGTAAAAGCCATGGAGAGATTTAACAATATGGATGGGTATTTTGTGGAGGTAGTGACATAATGGTAACGTCATTGGGCTAGTAATCCAGAGGCCCAGGGGATGTTGATTCAAATCCCACCAGGGCAGATGGCAAAATTTGAATTCAGTAAAATCTTGAATTAAAAGCCACCCTGGTATAGGAATATAGGAACATAGGAACACGAGTAGGCCATTCAGCCCCTCAAGTCTGCTCTGCTATTCAATAAGATCATGGCTGATCTGTGGCCTAACTCCATATGCCTGCCTTGGGCCAATACCCCTAGATAACCTTGCTTAATAAAAATTTGTCTACCTCAAATTTAAATTTAACAATTCAATTAGCATCAACTGCCATATTTGGAAGAGAGTTCCAAACCTCCACTACTCTTTGTATGTAAAAGTGTCTCCTGAATGGTGTGGCCCTCATTCTCTGACTATGCCCCTTAATTCTAGAATCTTCAACCAGTGGAAATAGTATATCATTATCTACCCTCTAACTATTCAATTAACACCGTTTGTGACATCTTAAAGAGCTATGCACCTGAACCCCCAAATCTTGTTGGGCATCCACTGTATTTAACTTTGTGCCCTCTAAAATATACCCTTATTAATCCTTTCTTGGTCTGAAATGGATATTCTCACCCTTGCTTTTTTGAACTCCATTTGCCACATCTTTATCCATTCACCTAATCAATCAATACCCTGCTGTAATTTTATTGTGTCATCAATGCTATCTACAATTTTGTGTCATCAGCAAATTTGGATATTTGACTTGTTATGCCATTGTCCAGTCATTAATGAATATTGTGAATAATTGAGGCTCCAACACAGATCCCTGCAGAACATGACTAGTCATATACAGCCAATTTGAGTCCATAATTCTAACTCTCTTTTTCCAGCCACTCCACCAATTCCCTATCCATGTCAGTAATTTACCATCAATTCTGTGCGCTTTCACCTTAGCTAACAGTTTCTGGTGTGGGACTTTATGAATTCAATATAAACAACATCCATCGACTTGCCTCTGTCCACCACCTTTGTCAACTCTTCAAAAATCTCTGAGGTTTTTAGGCATGACTTACCTTTCATGAATCCATGGTGACACTCTCTGATTACTTGAAATTTTTAATAATCAACCACTGTTGGACGTTCTAAAATCTCATCTGGTTCACAAATGTCCTTTAGGGAAGGAAATCCACCATCCTTACTTGGTCTGGCCTACATATGACTCCAGGCCCACAACTATGTGTTTGGCTCTTAACTGCCCTCTGAAATGGCCCAGCAAAACACACATTTGAAAGGCATTTAGGGGTGAGCAATAAACACTGGCCAGTGATGCCCACCTCCCATGCAAGAATATAAAAATAAATACTTGAGATATTTTTGGTCAGCAATTACAGGGGTGATGGGTGAATGGAATTTTATGCAGGACCTGGGAAGCGCAGTTTGAGATTTTCGGGAATTCAACCTGTAGGGGCTTGGACTGAGTGCAGTGCAACAAAGGCATGGATTAGCCAGAGTTTCACTCAGAGCCTGGGATGAGTGGGTGTACATCAGGGCTCAATAACTGAGACATAGGGCACTAGGGGCCCTTCAGGGCTTGCCTATGGGTTATGGGCCACTGTGCTCAAGCCAAAGGCAGGACCAGGGCCAGGGCTCAGACCAGGAGCAGCACCAAGGCCTGTGGGTTCCATAATGGAGGAGCTGAGGCTGGCGATGTCACAAAGGTGAAAGTTGGGAGGCCAGTTATGCTCTACTTGGCTTTGTTCACTTCCACATTGCCCTTTTCCGTCTCTCTCTCTCCAGCCTGGAGTTTTGGAAAAGATGCTATTTTATTACAGTTACATAAATCCCTGCATCAGAAGCTCATGATGACAATTGCCTGAGGCATCTGCTAATTAATTGGATTGTTGGGTTTAATATTTACTTTGGAACTCAGTGTTGTGTACTTAACCAACCTAATGAGAATAAAAACTGCATCAGAGAGATTAAAATCCATCCCAACAGGGCCAAAAACTTGCTTTTTGCAACGACAAACTCACTCATTTTCCTTTGTTGAGTAAACAGGGTGATTCCAGACCCTTCCAAACTGAACAGAAACCATACTCCCAGGTTGCATTGATAGTTTAGCCCCACACTGGTTAAGGAAAGAGCTTTTGCAGTCTTTCATGACCTCTGGACATCCCAAAGCAATTCAGAGACCTGGGGAGTCGGGGAAGGTGGCTTGTGAGGGAATGCCTAATCCTGGTGTCAGGGTTTTGTGAGTGGCCTTGTTTTGTTCAGGAGCTTCCTGAATCTGCCAAATCTGTAGCTTAATGTCATAACAACAGCTCAAAGTTAAAATGATGCATAACAATGAGGTTTGCTGCATTCATAAGTTTGGCCAGCTGGCCACCTTTGCTCCACTGATTAAAGAGACTGGTGAGTGGGCTTGGTACAGGTGTGGGTTAAGAATTAGATCCTTAAGAGGTTAACCCTCTTCCTAACTCAAGCATATCAATTTATTTAGATTAAAATTCCTCACTTGTATTTAAATAGCAAGTTTCACATCCCAAAATATTTCAAATTCAGTTTAGTGTCACAGAATGGCTTCCCTTTAGAAGGCAGCCATTCGGCCCATCTGTGCTGGCTCTCCAAATGAGCATCTCATTTAGTGCCATTCTCCTGCCTTCCCCCCATAACCATACACATTGTTCCTTTTTAAATAAGTGTCTAATTCTCTTTTGAAAGGCTTGGTAGAACTTACATCGAGCACATGCACAGGCATTGCATTCCAGACACTAACCATTTGTAGCACAACTTTTTCCACATCAATATTGCCTCGTACTAGTTATTTAAATCTATGTCCTTTCATTGTCAAGTTCTTGTACAAATGGAAGCATTTTCTCCCTTTTCAATCTGTTTAGATGTTCATGATTTTGAAAAACTCTACCAAATCTCTTCTCAGCCTTCTCATCTCCAAGAAAACAGTTCTAACGTGTCCAGCCCATCCTCACACCTAAAGTTTCTCACCTCTGGAACCAGTCTCGTGAACCCCTTCATCACTCTGTCCAGGGTTTTCACATCCTTCCTAAAATGCAGCATTAAAACCATACATAGTAATCCAGCTGACTAGTGTCTTGTACAAGTTCAACATTAACCTGCTTGCCCCATACTCTGTGCTTTCATTGATAAAGCCCAGGATACTGCACTCTTTATTAATTACATTTTTAGTCTGTTTTGCCGACTTTAATGACTTATGAACATATACACCCATGTCCCTCTTTATTTTTTTGTCCCTCCATGTTTTGCTAACTAAAATATTAAAACATTATACTTGCCTGCTTTGAACTTCATCTGCCATTCAATTGCTTATGTACTTCTGAAGTTTGACACTGTTTTTCTCACATTTTACAATGCTTCCAAATTTTAGTATCATCTGTGGACTTTGAAATTCAGTCCTGTGCCCCTAGGTCTAGATCATTAATATATTAATCAGGAAAGGTGTTTTTAAAAACGAAGACACTGTTGTATGTGAGAGGGTATTTCCATTCAACATTTTTTTTACCTCCTGTAGTTGTTTTTTCTAACCTGAATCCCATTGACCTGTGTTTGACTTTGCCTACATAGTCCATTTTACACATCCCATAAGTGCTGGTTTTTGTTTTTCATTTGGCTTCTGCTGTGATTCCACAGAAATCTCCACTGTGGAGACTCCACTTTCATCTGGGGGTGGGGTGGGGGTTTACAAACTTGTAGGTTCAAGACCCAGTTCGGAATTGCGAGCATAAAATCGAGACTGGTCCTCCCAGTGCTGTGGGGTTACTGCAATGTTGCAGGTGCTACCTTTCAAAGGAGTTATCTGTTCTCTGAAGGAGACATCAGAGATTGTGTGGATGCTATTTTAAAAGAGAGCATGAGAGATCTCCCCACTATTGTGGATGTAATTTAGCTCTTAACCAACTGTGGTGGTGTTGTGGTAATCTCACTGTGCTCCTCACCAGGAAGTACAAGCTCATGTTTTGGGCAACACGGATTCAATTTTTGTTATTAATTCATGGGATGTGGGTGTCACTTGCTAGTCCAGCATTTATTGCCTATCCCTAATTGCCCAGAAGGCAGTTAAGAGTCAACCACATTACAGCTGGTCTGGATTCACATGAAGACCAGTTGATGCTGTTAGTATTAGGCCAGCTCTTTGTTCCAGATTTTACTGAATGCAAATTTCACCATCTTCAATGGCTGGTTCTGAATCCATGTCCCCGGAGCATTTGCCTGGGATTCTGGATTACTCATCCAGTGACATTACCGTTATGTCACTGCATCCTCTTAAAAATCCCACCTGTTGTCCCATAAAATGTAATAAGATCAGGAATTAAAAGCTAATGTAATGGTGACAGTGCTACCCTTCTCATAAAAACCCATCTGATTCACTAAAGACCTTTTGGAAAGGAAATCTGCTATCCTTATCGGGTCTGGTCAACATCTGACTCCAGATCCACAGCAATGTGGTTGACTCTGAAATAGCCTAGTAAGCCACTCACTTTTTCAAACTGCTGTAAAGTCTAAGCAAAGAAACAAAACTGGATGGACCATCAACATCAGCCTAGCCACCAGAAATGTCAATGGCAAACACTGAAACAAATTTTCTGGACTGTAATCACACTGTTGTATGTTGGAGCTTGCTGCGTTGAAATTGGCTGCCGTTATGACCTCCATTAAAGCATTTAAAAATAAGCTTTTGGTTGTTTAGTGCTTTGAGCCATCGTGAGGTGGCAAAAGACAGTTAGAAATGCAAGTTCTTCATTTTATTGCTCCATGTGGCATATTGCCACATACAAACTAACAGTGAAGCTTTTGATATTTAACCGAGATCATGTGATCAAACGTCTGGAGTGAGATTTGAAGCCCCTACACTTCCAAAGGTATCATTGCTCATTGAGTTAAAACCAGCACCACTAAATCACTCAGAGATAGTAAGAACTCTGATGCTGGAGTCAGAGATAAACAGTGCGGAGCTGGAGGCACACAGCAGGCCAGGCAGCATGGGAGGAGCAGGAGAGCCGACTGAAGAAGGGTCCCGACCCGAAACGTCAGCTTTCCTGCTCCTCTGATGCTGCCTGGCCTGCTGTGTTCCTCCAGCTCCACACTGTGTTACCACTAAATGATGTTAGCTGCTACTTTATTTCATTCCCATTAGTGGGATATTGCTGTGCACTGTTTGCTTGCTTTGGTTCCCACATTAATGCAGTCACTAAGCTGTGAAAAAAGTATTTCATTGGCTGAGAAGTGATTTGAGCCATGCAGAGGCTGTACTAGACAAAACAGATGACAGTAGCATAGTGGTACTGTTACTCGACTAGTCATCTCGAGAGACAGACCAATTATTCTTCACACAAGGCTATCTAGCCTGATTATTCCCTGTGGGAGCGAGTTCCGCATTCGCAGCCTTCTCTGGATACATCTCCTGAATTCCTGATTGAATTGATTAATCACAATCTTAGATTGATGACTCCCAATTCTGGCTTGCAAATAATGAAAAATCTTCTCTGTATCTACCTTATCAAACACTTCCTTAATTCTAAAGACTTCAATCAGTCACTCCCTCAGCCTAGACTTGTTCCATCACGCTGAGGAGGTGGCAGCATCAAATATTTTTATTAGGAAAGTTGTGGTGTTTCTGTAACAAGGGAACTTGTTTTGAATCATTGTGATTCAGCACAGACGAAGCAATCCCACCCTTTGAAAGAGTTATGCAATTAGCCAACAACAAAAGTGAAATGTCTCTAAGGAGAAGCTGTGTGTTCCCCTCAGAGGAACACACAGCTTCTCCAATCTCTCTACATTTTCTAGATAAAAGAGCCCTGGCCTGTTCAATTTTTCCTGAATGACATAAATTTCCAGTTCTGGTAACATTCTAATTGTCTGTTCTGGAAAGTCTCTAAATCCTTGTTTATATTCCTCTTCAACTAATTCATGAATTAAGAACAAAATGCTAAACTTATTAATAATTGTCTGGAAACTCCAGATTGTTGTACAAACCTATCTGATTCAATGATGTCTTTTAGGGAAGGAAATCTGCCATCCTTACCATGTCTGGCCTGCACGTGACTCCAGATACACAGTAATGTGACTGACTCTTAATGCTCTCTGAAATAGTTGAAGAAGCCAACTCAAATGTAGGTAGTTTACTACAACCTATTCAAGGGCATTCAGAGTTGGATAATTAAAAAAAAATTAAAACGTGTCAGTTCCAGTTGCTTACAGCTCAAGAATGAAGGATTTAAAAAATGACCCTAATTAAGATGTTTGAATTTTTTTGATGACAAAACAGATGGCTGATGAATGTAGTTCAATATATGTTGTTCATATGGATTGTACAAGGCATTCAATAACGTCTGACAGCCCAGGTGGAAAATAGCACTTGGTGTCATCAAAATGATAGTAAGGAATTGTCTTAAGGGGCAGAAATAAAGAGGATAGGTGAATGGCTATTTGCCTCATGAAAAGGAGGGAAATGCAAAAGAATAGTCAGCGTCTACCCTATGACAGGACCTTTACCCCCCTTCAAGTTCAATGGCAGTACCATCTCTAAATCCCTCACTATGAACATACTGGGGGTTATCATTGACCAAAAACTGAATTGATCTAACAATATAAATATAAAAATACTGTCCACAAGAGTAGGTCAGAGGCTAGGAATTATGCAGCAAGTAACTGTCTCCCAAAGCCTGACCATCAACTCCAAGGCACAAGTCTGAAATGTGATGGAATACTCCCCATTTTTCTGGGCAAATGAAGCTCCAGCAGCAGATATATGGGAACACCACCACCTCCAAATTCCCCTCCAAGCCACTCACCATCCTGACTTGGAAATTTATCGCAGTTCCGTCAGTGGCCAAAATCCTGGAACTCCCTCCCTAGCTGTAACAAATGTGCCTACAGCACATGAACTGCAGCAGTTCAAGAAGACTGTTCAGCATCACCTCTAAAGGGGTAATTAGGGATGAGCAATAAATGCTCACTTATCAGGCTCGCATCGCATGAGTAAAATGAAATTACGCAGATCCAAGTGTATTATTTGTTAGGAATTTAAAAAAACTTATTAGTGCAGTAAATTGTGAGCAGACAATAGTGATGGACAATAAATGCTGGCCAAGCCAGTGATGCCCTCATCACATGAACAAATTTTTAAAAGTAGGCTTTAGGATAAGATTGGCAGAATGTTGGGGAGGGGGAGAAGGGCTGAACAGTCCAAAAACACTCCAGTAAATCTCGTGTGCCTGTTTCCTGTAGTGTGAGTCCTCCCTCATATGCCTCATTCTGGCTGCCAGAGCCTGACAAACCTCCTCATGCGTCCTTTCCCCCCAAACTCTGGGGTGAGGAATTTCTAATGCAGGATGTGGTGTTCTAGCTTCTCTGTGACTTCCACCTCCTTTACGTCCAAGTCGAGCACTGTTCTTTATTTAGGAGGTGGTGGGGAGGATGGCGTGCTGTTTTTATCTCCCTTGGTCGTAGATAGCAACAAATCTCTCATTTGTCTCTGGTTTGCGACAAGCTGAATCCGTACAACTCCCTGATCCTGATGTGTGAGCTGGTGTGCACTTGGACCCAGGAGGTGTCACTGCTTTCTCCTGAAAGGCTCAGTGATGACACCTGCTGGTGGATGGGGAGCAGAGCAGCTTTGACTTGGGCACCGAGAGAGGTTTCAGGGGAGAGATAGTAGGAACTGCAGATGCTGGAGAATCTGAGATAACAAGGTGTAGAGCTGGATGAACACAGCAGGCCAAGCAGCATCAGAGGAGCAGGAA